CGCAAGGTGGCAGGGTGGCGATGGCTTGCGGCGGCGACTCCGGCTGTGGGGCTCCAGGGGGGACCCCGGGTCGATTTATAAAGGGGGGGTGGCGGCGGTGGCTTGCGGGAGGGGCTGAGGCGGCGTGGCCCCCCGGACTCGGCGGCGACGGCGATCGGGACTCCGGTCCCGATCCGGATGCGGGAGGCGGCGGCGGCTGGGCCTTCGGCCCAGTCGGGCGCGCGGGAGTTTTTTTTAAATAATCCCGCCAAACTAAGAAAAATCCTAGAAAAATAAATAAAATCTAAAAATGCAAAAACAAATTTTCACCGTCTAAATAAAATATTTAGAACAGGATGAACATTTTCTTGGCCCTAAAATGCAGTTTTGAAAATGTGCAATTTTTCCTAAATTTAAATAAAATAGCAAGAAAATCCAAAATAAAATCTTACTTGATTTTTTTATTAAACCTTCAATATTTCTTTATTTTGAGAAAGTCATTTTATTCCCTCTCTCATATTTTTATTATAAAAATAATTGAAGATAAGATAAATAAAATCAATGATCCTATTTTCAAAATTTGAGAAAAACTCAAATATGAAGATAACGAAATCCCCAACTCTCTCCGTGCGTTCTTGAGTTGCGTAGAATTTCTAGATCAGGCCAAAAGCAAATAAAATATGATATGCAGTGATGACCTAGTGTATAACATTCCAAATTGAAAATTTGGGATGTTACAAACCTACCCCCCTTAAGATGAATCTCACCCTCGAGATTCGGGTTGGCTAGAAAATAGGTGAGGGTGGTCCTTCAGCAGTTTTTCCTCTCGCTCCCAGGTGGCTTCATCCTCGGTGTGGTGGCTCCACTGAACTTTACAAAACTTGATAACCATGCTGTGGGTGACTCGGCTGGCATACTCGAGAATCTTGACTGGTTTCTCCTCATAGGTCAAATCACTATCCAACTTGTAGGCAACTTCTCTCATACATTCCAAAACTTTGTATGGTCCCACAAAACGTGGCGCTAACTTTCCGTTAACTCCAAAGTGCTTAACTCCCCGAAGTGGAGATACTCGAAGATAAACTCGGTCTCCGACTTCGTAAACTGTCTCCTTATGTTTAGAATCTGCGTAGCTCTTCTGCCTGGATTGGGCTACCTTGAGCCTATCGTGAATGAATTTCACCTTCTGTTCAGACTCCTTAATCAAATTCGGTCCAAACAACTGGCGGTCTCCAACTTCATCCCACGACAATGGGGTCCTGCACCTCCTTCCGTACAAGGCTTCGAAAGGGGTCATCTTCAAACTGGATTGATAACTGTTGTTGTAAGAGAACTCTGCATATGGCAAATTATCGTCCCAACTAGATCCATAATCTAGCGCACAAACTCTCAGCATATCCTCCAAAATCTTATTGACTCTCTCGGTATGTCCATCTGTCTACGGATGAAAAACTATACTGAACTCTAGCCTGGCACCCAAAGTTTCGTGCAACTGATTCCAGAAATTTGAGGTAAACTGGGTTCCTCTATCGGATACAATGCTCCTCGTAACTCCATGCAGACATACGATCCTGGTCATGTATATCTTTGCCAACTTAGCACTGGTATAAGTGGTCTTTACTGG